TGAGGGCCCTGGACTGCTTGTGGCTTCTGGGTGTCACCAGGGGCTCCAAGGATGATGGGGTCTGTCCCCTCAGGCTCTGCTTGGCAGTGAGTGAGCAGGAGTTCTACCTGGGGCCCAGTGCTCTCCTGCACTGATGCCCTGAGTGCAGCCAACCATCCAGGCAGCTGCTGCAGCTGGACCCAGACTCTTGGGCTGTGTAGCATGGCCTCAGGGTGGCCTAACAAGGTCTTGAAGAGGGCCACTGATGAAACCAGTTCCTGGAGCACATGTAGGGTGCTCTTGAATGCCTGTAAAGACTGTATTACTGTACTACTGACAGTGCAGTTTCTCATTTCAGTGATTGTATCAATTTGCTATGGCTGCATAACAAAGTACCACAGACTGGGTGACTTAACAGAAATTTGTTTTTTCAATTCGGGAGCCTAGCAGTCTGCGATGGGGTCGAGGTGCTGACATGGTTGGTTCCTCCTGAGGCCTCCCTCCTGGGCTTGTTGAGAGCCCTCTTCTGTGTCCTCCCACGGCCTTTTTCTCTGTGGGTGTCTGTGTCCTGTTCTCTTACGGGGACACTAGCCAGGTTGGATTAGGGCTGATCCTAATGACTGCATTTTAACCTGCTTACCTCTTCAAAGACCGTGTCTCCGAATACGGTCACATCCTGAGGTGCTAGGAGTTCGCACTTTAACATAAGAATTGGGAGGTGGAGGGGGACACAGTTTACCCCGCAACAGTGATAAACATTTAAATGTTTGATCAGGAACCAAGTATAGTCATTTCAAGCATAGAACGTGATTATTTAAAAACCAAATCAAAAACTGGATTTTAAACACAAGTTTCTCAAAATTTGGAAAAGGTGGCATTTGAACATGTACATTTGCACTTTTCCCCTAATGTAATATGTTTTATTACTACGATTTCATAATTTTGTTTTGTTTGTTTGTTTATTGAGTTATAGTCATTTTACAATGTGGTGTCAAATTCCAGTGTAGAGCACAATTTTTCAGTTATACATGAACATATATATATTCATTGTCACATTTTTTTTCCACTGTGAGCTACCACAAGATCTTGTATATATTTCCCTGTGCTATACAGTATAATTTTGTTTATCTGTTCTACATTTTGAAATCCCAGTCTGTCCCTTCCCACCCCCCACACGATTTCATAATGTAAATGAGAGTCCTGCCCCCACTGCATCTCTTCCTTTTTACCCAATATGCCTGCCGTACAAATGGAATCATTTTCTTTGAGTGCCCTGTCCTAAGAAGGTCGAGAAGCATCATGCAGAAATACAAATGAATGTAGTGAAACTGAATAGAATATTAAATACTAAATTCAGGCTGGTGATTACCTCTGAAGAGGGAGGGGTACATGGGGACTTATAAAATCATGAGAATATTCTTTAATGAAGTTATGTGCACCCCAGTGTTTATATCACTGTTCTTCATGTTAATATGTACTTAATAAATTTTTTACCTATTCAGTATTTTAATATATTTTTAATCTTTAATCTTGAAGCTGTCTACTTTTTTTTTTTGCAGGAGGGGTAATTAGGTTTATTTATTTATTTAAATAGGGGGAGTGGGGATTGAACCCAGGACCTCATGCATGCTAAGCACACGCTCTCACCACTGAGCTATAACTCCCCTCCCCCCTGTTCAATATTTAATAAAATCAGTTGAAAAGAAAAACTCCTGCTCTATAAATTCTCTGACAGTCTGGTCTTCTCTCATTCATTATGCTACTTGAAAATACAGCTTGTCTTTCTGAGTAATTTTATGTATCTGCAACACTATTCTGTAAGCTCCGGCAACTGAAAAAAAACTTTTTTTGTGATAGTAGCAACATCCGGTGTTTAATGATGTGTCCGGATGGTGGTGATCGGAGAAGCAGAGTCTCAGGGATGTCAGAATGAGCAAACTGAGCCTGC